TGTCTGTGTCTGTGTCTGTGTATGCGGCGTATGTATGTATCATACATAATATGTATGTACACATACGTACATAAACATGGGTGTACACACTAGTGTGTATACATATATAGTATTCATATGTGTTCCCCCTCATGTACACGCGCTTTGTGTTTGAATGGCGGGCGATAGTTTGCGATAGTCGTTATGCCCCTACAGACCTAGCCGAGCACCACTTCCATTTTTGGTCATACCTAGAATTCTAGTGTCTTCTTCTATGGCCAATGCATCGTATCAAGTGTAGCTTCACCAGTGATCTAGCAGAATATTGTTTAACAGCTGCTATGCACACTATTTAATACTAGCCTGACATTATGCTTATACTTATCCACATTCTTGTAAGTTTTTACTAGCTAAGTTTTCCCTAGCAGCCGTTGTTGATTTAAGATTCACACCTGCAATACCTGCCAACACACACACAAACACTCTTAGTAGAATGATGGCTTGTTCACTTAATACGTTTTTGTTAACCTGCTGAAAGAAGACTGCTACTAGTCTCGAAATCAACGAGAAGGCAACATGCGCATTGCTTGCTTCAAAATCTTTACATTCCTCTTGGTCACAGCACGATATCTATGGCGCACAAATGATGACCTTGACAGAACGATACCCTCGAAAAAGAGCGATTTCAAAGCACAACAAAGTTCGGTTTAAGGACATCCATTCGCCATGTCAGTCCCCAAGTTCCGCCAGGAACCATGGCCGCTGCGGCCTCGAGCGGCTCCGAATCTGCAAGGCGACACGAAAGGGAGCGAAGTGTGCTTTTGCTTTCAATCTGCCGTTGAAGTGTGCGTGACATGCATGTGTTTCTCTACGAATTCCGAAGTCTATGCTGAGGGGAACAGATAGACAGATACGACACGATGCTAGATACCACGGGTGTGTGTGTGTGTGNNGTGCATGCATGTACGTATCTGCATAAGTATCCGTGTGTATGTGCGTCTGTATGTCAGTGCACATAAGCACGTATGTCTACATGTATGGATGGATGATGGGCGATTGGATGGGTGTGCATGTGTGTATGTCACATTTATGTCGCCCTTGGGGCGCAGAGGTCCGATGGGGCATCTAATTAAGGCAGCCTGCAAAGGAGTTCTGGGGCTTCGCAATTTCCTTCAGAGCAGTGTTCGAACCCCTGTGTGTGTGTATATAGACACAAATATGAACCCAAATATCAATAAACAAGTACACAAACATACATATATATATATATGCACTATGTACTCTATGCTATATACAATGATTATCCGATCTATTCATGCGCACTGTTTGAGGCTCACTTCCTGCTCCGCTCCCTGCCACCACAGGCCATGGTGCCGGGTAAGCAAGGTTTGCAAATTCAGCTTTCTTGTAAAGGTGCGCCGTCTGGAAATCTGGAGTGCGCCACGGCTGCCCTCAACCAGAGCAACCGCTTGGCTGTCTGCCGAGTGAAGCTCCAGGTACTGGCCACACTCTCAACAGCTCCTGGGCGAGTTTCAGGCACGGATCATCGCCGGAAAAAATGGGCATGTAGAGACCTAGGCTGGAGCGAGACGCTCCAGGCGCAGATCCACGCCTTGGCCGAATCTGAAGACAAGGAGCCATTTTCCTTTGCATAGGCGTCGTTTTTCAGATTTTGCTTGGGGGCTTTGGGGCGAGGAGCACGTCTCTGTGACGGAGCTTTTGCTGGTCTCTTGGCGGCCCAAAGGCGGCCGTCGGGGAGGTGCAGCTCGAAAAGCTCCAGAGGGCGGCGGAGGTGCTGCAGCACGGGCCACGGTCACGACTGCAGCTGAAGACGAAGCGGCTGAAGCCCACAGCACAGGAAGCTTCAAGGCCCAGGCCGGATGTTTTGCCCAAATCTGGCTACAACCCCCTATAGTATCAAGTCAACACAACATGTCATAAATCGTTGAGATATGCTTGCACGGCACATGAGTTTATGGGGCAAGAGCCGACAGAGCGGCGGGAGATGCTTGAAATTGCAGAGAAGGGTCGTGGAGGTCAGGGCGGCAAGGGTGATGTTCTGCATTCAAAAGTTATCGCGTAGACTCAGCAGCACTTGCCAAGATATCACATGTCACAATTATAGCATGTACAAGCCACGGACAGCGCAAAGGGCCGCCCTTCGTATGCCGGATGCCAACTTCTGCGAGCTGAACATCTCTCGGCAAGTGTTTATTTTGTTACCTCGTGAGCTGTTGGCCCTCTCTCTTTCTCTCTCATCTGGTCGCAGGGTGCGAAGCGAGAGCGCCAGAAGCTGGAGCCAGCATACTCCCATGTCTGCTGAAGTCGAAGAGAGAAGGCAAAAAGAGTGTCCAACCTATATAGATCTACCCTCTCGAAGGAGATCAGCGTGCTGACGACGGAACGCACAACGCCGCCACCCCCGATACCACTGGAGCAGAGTCCTAAAAAAGCATTCTCCGACGGAGCAGAGAGGCCGAAATCACTCAGTTCAGGTCGGACAGCGAGTCCGAGTTCGTGGCCCGAGCGGATGCCTTTGTCGCATCTTCTGGCACTCCAAGCTCAAAAAAGCTCGATGCCTCGCCAGGTCTTTGCGTTCGGCAGCGACAAGTTGCGGGAAAAGGCACATTCCACCGGCGGAAACAACCTTCCGTGACTTCTGCCCGAAACAGCCAGATGAGGCCCGGCAGAGCATCGAGACCGGCAGAGGACAAGGAGGCCGTGTTTAGCGCTCGCTGCATTGAACCGTATCAAGGATAGCAGCGAGCTTCCTAGCAGCCACATCTTGGCATTGTGGAAGCGCTCGGAGGCTGCGCGCTGGCACCCCGCGTGTCTCGCTGGGGTCGCTTGGATTGGCCTTCTGCGTGAGGGCGGAAGCAGGGACACGATGACTTGGTTTCACCCTCGTTTTGAGCGCCAAGAAAAGTGTCACGAATCCCGTCGGCTCCTCTAAGCTCTGCGTAGGACAGGCTTCGGAATATTGTCAGGTCAGAGGGTTACGCGGGCTGCGCCCTCCACGTGTCTGGCTCTCAGCAGCAAGTAGCGAGCGGTATTTGAGGGAAGCGTTTGGGTCATGTTGAGTCGAAGCACTGGTGACAGGGGCCGCGAATACCTGCAGAGCGGCCGGTGACCACGTGAGGCCAGCTGCGAGTTAGCAGTCGGCGGCTTTGGACTTTCTTGGTCTCGCAGGGGTGCAGACGGGCGCTTCCTCGGCTTTTGAGCGGCCGTTGTCTCACCCCTGCCTTGAACTCCCTTAGGGAGCGTCAAGACGATGCATGACAAAGTCCGATGCATCGTCGCTTGCATTCTGATCCGAGTCTTCTGCATTCTGAGGCAAGCAGTAGTGGCTAGCCAGCATTCAAACCTCCGAGGGATCTGCTGCGGCTGTAAGTGAGCTGTCCATGTGTCTTGTAGCTAGCGCAATAGCAGTCCAGGTGATGGCTTTAGCAGAGGCCATCTCGCCTGATCACAGTTTGCAGTCCCACACTTTTAATTTTGCACCCACGATACCACGTTCCCTGCCTTGAATTTGTGGTTGTCATGGCCTGGTCTCGTGTGCCATGCTTAGCGACCGATGGTCAGTGCCCGAATTCTCCGAAGCTTCTCGAGCGAGGCGCGCCCGGCGTGTCCGGCGTGGTGTGCCGTCGCGGTGCTCGCAGTGATCCTTTACAGAGCTGCTCACCCAAAGCAAGAGGGAGCCTTTGCCTGGCTGTGCTTCTTTTCCTTTGCAGGCCATTGATGGCTGCACAGAAGTGTTTCTGTCTCCACCCAGACAAAAGGCCGTGAACAGGGCCGGTGCCTCTTTCGCCTTTTCCCCTTTCAGCGCGAAGTCTGTTGCTGTTGAGGCGGCTGGAGCCTCCGGAGCTTTGCTGGGCTTGGGTGCAGCGGCTCCCGCAGCACATGCCTTCGAGGCGCTGAGCAGTGAGCTGCTGCCCATGGCGCTGTGTGCTCTTCGCCAGATGCCGAACCTGGGGCAATTCTTCAGCACTGTCTGGAGAGTCGTGTCCACAGGGAGTGACGAGGCTGGAGAACCGAAACTGTGCCCAAGAGCAGTACTGTCGCTTGAGCACCTGTGAGGTCTACGATCCCACCACGGAGGAGGGTGCCAAGGCGGGGCTTCAAACCGCATGTTGAAGCAGAAGGCGTGCTCCGGGGAAATTAGCCTTGCCACTGTCCCACTTGTACCCTGGTCATGCTTGATCGCAACAGTCTGTCCGATGGCTTTACGACTCTGTTATCAGGCTCTGGGCTTGGCGGTCCCTCTGCCAAAGGATGGTTTCGGCGAGGTCACCTCAGATGCCTTTGCCCTAGCCTCCCTATAGCAGCTATATAGCGGCTGTCTGTACGCAAATTTCATGCCGCACGAAACAGACTTTCGACTGCCTGCGACTGCCTCCCAGGACGTTCTGCCCTTCGCCTTGTTCTTGTTGGCGGCCGTCTCCTTGGGTCGTTCTCAGAGGAAATCACCGCACAGAAATTCCCAGGGAGCCGTTTAAGCCGCATCGCAGTTGGTTGCCTGGGGCCTTTTGGTGGTCCCTGGCAACATGGATCGCAGCGACGGGGCGAAGCCGACGCCTCGGAGTTCAAGTCTCAGCTCAGGCCCTCACTTTCGCTTCCTGGTCTCTGAAGGTCTGTGCTCTTCCCTTCCCAAGTCCCTAAGTTGAAGGCGCGGAGGACAATGTTGTGTGTCTGTGTGTGTGTGTCCTAAAAGCATGGAAGTAGTGTAGGAAAGCTCGGTATTCGAATTGCAGCTTCTGGCTTCGAGCTCGCCCCCGTCCCCGTGCTGGGGGCAGCGACAATGGTCGTGCCCCATGATCCTGTATGACAACAAGAGTATCTTATCCCTCTCTTGCAAGTACCATGGCAGCGTCTTCCCGAAGGCCGCTCCAGAGACATCAAATTTCAAAAGCGCTCGATAAGATCTGTTTGCCTGCAACAGGCGACCTTGATAGCTCTTCCTTTCGTCATCGCAGTCGTAATCCTGAAAGCCCTGGTTCAAGCCGACCAGATCAGCTGGAGCCCCAGACGCGGCAGTTCGCCCTGTAAACAGCGGAGTTACTGGCGGCTATATTGCTTGTGGCCGACGCAGGTCTCGATGATCTTGATTTGATCACAGACGGCTCTGTGTACGGCGCCTTTAGTTCGATACTTAGTGGATCGCACTACATTGTCTGTGGAGCATTCAGCGGGTAATTTCCTCTTCTCTTCCAGGCTTGGTCCTGAGCTTCACCCTGGTCTTTCGATGTCAGCAAGCTTACCAGCGCTACATTGAGTCCGCCAAAGCAATGCACACCATGAGCGCGGAGCCTCGAAAGAGCAGGGAGTCGGCCTCGAGTATCTACATGCCCGCATCTCAAGATTGTATATATTAATTTAAATGTGCAGATACATATATATATATATAATATGTA